CTCAAAGTCTGTGTCTTCATCCAGAGCCCTACGTTTCACCCATGAATGTATTATGCCTACTCAACACCCCCCATCACCCCTGAAGCTGCCTGCACAGCACTTCATTTTTCTTGCAAGGTTCCCCACCCAGCCAGCTAGAATACCGCATCCTTCCAACCGGCTCCATATCCCAGTCTTGCTGGCGTGGACCCCCCCCCACCATGCCCAACTGTGCCTCTTCTACCCACTCTCTCTCCACAGAATACTATATTGTCCTTATAGACCCCTGTCATTCCTATAGACCCCTGTTTTACTTCGGACTTCCCTCTCGGCCCACAGACCTTCATATAACCCTCATTCACCTCTTCTCACACCTGTGCACCTCACAGTCTCCCCTTCTCACTTCTGTGGACTAACATCTCACCGCACAGGCCCCCGCCTGCCCCCGTACGCCACGCCAATCTCGTCCGCATGAGATGACCTCTCCGGTCTCGCCCCTGGTCCCCTCTCACCCCTCTCCAGCCCTGCCCCAGCTCCGCCGACCCCCACACTTGGCGCTCGCAGGCCTCCCCGCGCAGCCCTCCGGCCCTACAGGTGCCCTGCTCCTACTCGGGGTACTCCCGGGGAGAGGCAGCCGGGTCCGACGCCACGCCGACCAGTGCCACCAGCGCCAGCAACGCGGAGCCATGGCTGGAAAGACCAACCAGCCAGCGGACCCGACCTCGGAGATGGCCCCGCGCTGGGCGCTGGGGAATCCTCGCTGCTCTCGGGCTTCGGCCCCGCCCCTCCCTAGCCCCGCCCCCAAGTCCCGCCTCCCTCGCTTTGGGAGAGCGCAGCGTGGAGGCCACACTCCCCCCGCCCGAAAGAATCCCGCCCCAAAGGAGAAGTCCGCCCTCGGATCCACCCTCTACCGCTGAGGGCCCGCCCCCAGGACGTCCGAACTGTCGTGACTTAATAAATTTCTCCCCAACCTTTACCCTCCCTCCAATCGTCTAGATGCTAGGGTTGGAGGAGAGCGAATCTCCATCGCTGTTCCAATCCCGCCTGAAGGAGGGAGCCAATTAGGAAGGGGCTTACTTTACTTAGCCCCTCCCATTCAGAGACTCTCGTCGCTCTCTGATGACGCACGGGCCCTTCCCTTTTCAAAGCGAACCCTCCCTCCCTGCGTCTGGTTTCTTCCCAACCAATCACGAGTCGAGTTCCAAGGGCGCCTCCCTGTCCATTGCGTAATAACCACGGAGTCCGGAAGTCTGGAAAAAAAGGGCTTCTGCCGGAGCCTTCGGGGCTTTCTGGGCGTTCTACAGGCGTGACCCTGGCCAGATGCTGTCCAGGTCGGGCTAGGGAGCATTTTAAACTTTGGAGATCCAATCCCGTCTCACCCCCCCCCTCCCCTTTACGTAGGTAAAGAAACGGGAGAAGCGGCCTCGGTTCTAAGGACAGGGCAGATCTCCCACCCTTGCCCAGCAGCACTGAAAGTAAGGGTGAGGCTGCTAAGGCACTGGCCTTGGGTGCAGAATTGAAGCGAGCGCCAAAAGCCCCAGTAATCAAGATAAGTAGTATTTTCATGCAACGTTTTGAAAGATCAAAATTAATGCCAAAAATCCACGGTGACCAAAATATGTATTTAAAAGACAGAATCCCTGGTCAAATCTGACCCAATAAACCTAATGCCAGCTTCAGCTTCCTTTTTCCCCAAGGTCCCTCTTTGTCAGACACTTCGTTGGAGAAGCCTTCCGTGATGCATCTTCTCCCGAGCTGGGTTAAGGTCCCTTCTTGCCCCCCGCCCCCCCCCCCCCGCCCCGCCCAAGACTCTCATCGTTACTTATTACACTGCCTTACTGTTTTTTAAATTGTCTTTTTTTATTGAAGTATAACAAACAGAAAAGTGCGTAAATCATAAGTGTACTGTTTGATGAAACCACAAGATGTAACCATATAAGCACCATCCAGTTCAAGAAATAGGACATGTGCCTCTCCTTGTCACTTCCCCTCCTTCCTATTGAGAAGTGAATGACTGTTCTGCTTTTTAAAAGTAATTGTATTTTGTGCCTGTCCCACTGGACCAGGAGGAGGCAAACTATGGCTTGCAGGCCAAATCCTGCCCAAGCTGATGGTTTTTACATTCTTAAATGGTTAAAAGAATTGCAAACAATATTTTGTGGCATGTGAAAATTACATAAAGTTCAAAAAAAGTTTTATTGGAACACAGTCACGCTCATTTCTTTACATATTCTCTGTGGCTGTTTTCACACTTTGATGGCACGAAGTGCTTTGAGTAGTTGTGACTGAGGCCACATGGTCCACAAAGCCCAAAATGCTTACTATCTGGCCCTTTACAGAATGTATGTCAATTCCTGCACTAGATGGTAAGCTCCATGAGGTTGGGGCTCAATCTCATTCACTTTTATATCCCCAGAGCTCTGTATAGTGCCTGGCATGTGCAAATGCTCCTGAAGAGTTTGTCTTAGTGATCAAACCATGTGTTATCCTTTCATGGGGAGGAAGAGAAGGAGACTCAGGATCAGACATCTCTGAAAGCCCTACAGGACTCCCCACCCAGAAACAGTATGTCTGGTGGTCGAGAGCATGGATTCCGGAATCAGACACACTAGGCTTGAATCCTTCTCCTAACACTTACTAGCGATATAATATAGAGAAATTTCATTTTTCCAAGACTTGTCTTCACCATATGAAGGAAAAAATAGAAAAATGTCTTGTAAAGACTGAAACTAGGTGGCATAGGTAAAATTGTTGGCCATAAGTTCTGAAAATGTTAACTCTCATCACCATTGTCAATATAATCACCTCCCCTATAATTCTGTAAATTAGACCTCAGGTATCTGTACAGTCCTGGGAGGGCTTCATTCACTCCTATCACTTCACCCTTCCCTCCCAAGCCCCATGCTTTCCCAGCCCACATCCTTAGAGTAACAGAAAATTGAGCCTCAAAGAAATCGAGTGACTTGTTCCCAGGCACCTGTAGTCCAGCCAGGTCTCGTACCGGGGCCTTCAGCTACTGCCCAGCCCCCACTCAGGCCCAGGTCAATAACAATGAGTCACTGGTTATAGATTAGGATGGTTTTGATCATTGGCCAGGACTCCGCAATGGGACCTTTTCTGACATGGCATTTTTTTATGCGGAGAATTAGCAGTTTGATTAATCACATTCCCAGACCTGAAGGCAATTTCTGAGCTGTTAATGCATTTCGAAACAGCAGCAATAACATATAGCAAAGAACAAGGCTGGGGAAGCTGCCAAGGCTTTCTTGTTCCAGGAGGGCTGCTTGGATCCAAAACTCTGCTCTATCAGTCAGCCTCCCAGCAGGAAACAGATGGCACACTCCAAAGGACTGACTGAAAAGAGTTTAATGAAGGAACTTTGTACAGAGGTGTGGCCAGGATCAAGGGAATGGTGGAGCACCCCCAGGCTAGCAATGGTGGCGGGAAGCCACTACCACCCCAGGTCCTGAAGAAGCAAAAGGAGGGAGCAGTTTCAGAAGTGGTGAGAGCCGTAGCTGTAGGAAAGGGCACCGGACAGCAGCTGTGGTCTTTGGTAGAGGAAGGCAGGGCGAAGAAGAGTAGGGAATGGATTTGGAGGCGCGGGGTGGGTGCTCCAACAGGACCAGGCTTCGAGGATGCCTTCGCCTGCTGTCTAGCCCCTCTGCCCATCCCATTCAGCCTCCCCACCATCAGGGCCAGCAGGCCCTTTACCTTGTCCAAAGGCTTCACTGAAAAACAAGGCAATTGTGTGCTCTGAACATGACCCGCATGTTCTCAACCTAAGATGATTTTGCCCCCTAGGGGACAGTTAGTTGGCAATGCCCGGAGACATTTTTGATTGTTACAACTTGGGTTCCTGGCATCCCAGTGGGTAGAAGCTAGGGATGCTGTTAAACACCCCAGGGTGGGGCGCCTGGGTGGCGCAGTCGGTTGAGCGTCCGACTTCAGCCAGGTCACGATCTCGCGGTCCGTGAGTTCGAGCCCCGCGTCAGGCTCTGGGCTGATGGCTCGGAGCCTGGAGCCTGTTTCCGATTCTGTGTCTCCCTCTCTCTCTGCCCCTCCCCCGTTCATGCTCTGTCTCTCTCTGTCCCAAAAATAAATAAAAACGTAGAAAAAAAAAATTAAACACCCCAGGGTGCCCAGGACAAGCCCCAGTGGCAAAGAATGATCCGGCCACGATGTCAATAGTGCCGACGTAAGAAGCCCTGCTTTAGACTAACTGCTCTGGTCTCCTGTCACAGGCCTGGCCTACTTCTCTGTTCCTGCCTCGGCCTCCAGCTGGGCCCCGTCCTTGCACATCTCGCCCAGCCACTAGTTAGGGAGGTTCCCAGTCCTCTCTCAAGGCTGCCCACTTTTGGCTGACCCTCAGTGGTGTCCCAAGCACACTGCTGTCCTCCTCCAGCGGGCATCAGTGATCCCCTGTATCCCTGCCTTCCTCCCTGCACCTGTTCACAGCCAAGCCCAGCTCTTGACTCAAGCCTTTGTAGCTGCACCCTGCCCTCCTTCCCCTCCCCTCTAAGGCTGTCTGTCCTCCAGACCCTGTTCCCATCACCCCCTCCAGCCTCGGCTACCCACCCCCAGTAATTTTTCTCCTTGCAATTGATAGTTCTTCGAGGCCTACCCCTGCTAGACATCATGGAACAAAGCAGACTTTATCTAGAGCTCGCCGAGGTCAAGCTCAAAGCTATTTACACTCTTATCTATGCCCTTATTTCCCCTGGAGTGCCCTCCCCACCAAACACATACACCTTAATTTCACTGATGTTCTCGAGGGTCTTGGTTGCTGCTGAGCCAGTGTCTTGCACAGGCTTCTCCGGCAGAGAAATTAGGAGAGTCTGCCAAAAGTAACCTCTCCCAGGGCACCTGGGTGGCTCAGGCCATTAAGCGTCCGACTTTGGCTCAGGTCATGACCTCACAGTTCATGGGTTCGAGCCCCGCATCAGGCTCTGTGCTGACAGCTGAGCCCAGAGCCTGCTTCGGATTCCGTCTCTCTCTCTCTCTCTGCCCCTCCCCTGCTCATGCTCTGACTCCGTCTCTCAAAAATAAAGAAAAAAAAAATTTTTTTTAATTTTTTAAAAAAGTAACCTCTCCGGGGCGCCTGGGTGGCGCAGTCGGTTAAGCGTCCGACTTCGGCCAGGTCACGATCTCGCGGTCCGTGAGTTCGAGCCCCGCGTCAGGCTCTGGGCTGATGGCTCAGAGCCTGGAGCCTGTTTCCGATTCTGTGTCTCCCTCTCTCTCTGCCCCTTCCCCGTTCATGCTCTGTCTCTCTCTATCCCAAAAATAAATAAACGTTGAAAAAAGTAACCTCTCCCTGTGGCCCCTGGGGAGAGGGCTCTTTGGGGGACACAGCCTCAAAGAACACAGGAAGAAGCAGTGGGCAGTTGAGCATGGGGTCTCCTGGCGCCCGGGAGGCCCTGAAGGCCTGACCCTTCGCTCTCCTCACCTACTGCCCTGCCCAGGGCCTCTCCTATCCCCATTCCCCATCACCTTCCCATAGCCCTATCAAGGCTCAGACACAGCAGGGGAGGAATCCTCCCCCACCCCACCCCAAGATGAAGTTGGCTGAGATCCAGACTGACCAGAATGCCCACCACTGTTATTCCTTTCCCCCAGATATCCCTCCAAACCCAGAAAAGCAAGCGGGTTTCTCCAGAAATCCCAGCCTGAGCTCTCCACCTCACTGCCCCCAGTGCCTCCCCACTCCACCACCAGCAGCCAAGCCACCGCCCTGGGGAAGGGCCCATGCCCTCCTGGACTGAGGGAAGGCCAGCAGAAGCAAGAGAGCTAGGATCGGGCTGGGGGGTGGGGAGGCAGGGCGCAGGGGGCGCCCCCCCACCCTTTTACTGCAATCCCACCAGCTCTGTGATGGGAGGGGTCTGCACCATGAACTCCTCATAGCGACTGAGGAACAGCCGGAAGCGAGCCAGGTAGGAGTCCTCGTTGTAAGGCAGCCGCTTCTCCTGGAGGAACCGGGACACCACGGGCTTCACCTGTCAGAAGATGGGCAGGAGGAAAGGCCGCTGAGTCAGGACTGTGGGCAGGTCCCTCCCCATGGGGGGCCACCCTCCTCCCAGTCCCTTGCTCCATGAGGCTTTGGAGGAGATGAGGGGCAGGGACCATTCCTGCCTCTCCCCTCCCAGCAGGCAAGGGAAAAGGGTGAGGGGTTTCTCCCCACTTCCTTCCCCAGGGCTCTCAACTCCACGACAGTCCTCCTTGGCACAGGGGATAAAAGCTAGAGCTCCCTGGGGTGCCTGGGTGGCTCAGTCAGTTAAGTATCTGACTCTTGATCTTGGCTCGAGTCATGATCTCACGGTTCGTGGGTTCGAGACTCACGTCAGGCTCTGCACTGACAGCACCGAGCCTGCGTGGTATTCTCTTTCTTCCTCTCTCTCTGCCCCTCCCTCCCTCACACATACACATTCTCTCTCTCAAAAATAAGCATTAAAAAAAAAAAAAAAAGCAAAAGCTAGAGCTCCCTTTTACCAAGCACGTACTGTGTGCCTAGCATTTCAGATCCATTTCGTTTCAACCTTAAAGCCTGCTGCTAGCAAGCCCTGCTTACCCTCATTTACCAGAGGGGGAAGCTGAGGCTCCGAGACATTCAGTTAACTTGTCCAGAGTCACAGTGCTGGTAAGGAACCCACATGCCTCTGGTCAGAAATGCACCCTGCTGCTCGTACACGGGGCAGTCCTTCCAGGGAAACTCTGCCCAGGCCAGCCTGATCCTCGCCTACCTTCAGGCACATGTTGTCAGAGAGCCGGGGGAAGAGGTGGTGCTCCACGTGACAGCTGACAATGGAGTGGCCGAATGCCCATTCCAGTACAGGCAGTCGGGGCAGGTTCAGCACACCCAGGCTCATCATGTGAATCCTCTGAGGCTTCTTGTCCCGAGAGAACATGGGCAGCCCAATGTGCTGTGACAGACACGTGGGTCATAGCTTCAGGCTGGGCTGGGCAGCCCCACGCCTCCCCACCCTGCCCCGGACATCCTCACCCACCACGTGGGGACCCAGAGGGTCCTTCTGCCTCCCTCACCCCCACTGTGGCGAGACTCTGCTGTCTGTGCTCTGAGCTCAGTCTCACCCATCTCTGGGTCTCTCTCTCCACCTGTACAACAAGGGGCGTGGCCTGGGTACCCCCTTGAACCCCGTGGTACTGACATGCCCACGACTTGGCGCGCTCTCACGCCACTCTGCCTTTATCTCATCCTGGAGAGACCCTTCTCTGCTCTCTTTCCCCCCATCAAAATCCTGCTCAGGGTTCAAAATCAAGTTTGTGCACCCTCTTGCTGTTTCATTCAACAAGTATGGAAATATGCCTCCTCTGCCAGGCTCGGTCCTGGGTCTTAAGGATTTGCAAGTGAATGGGCGCTTCCGCTCCAGTAGGACAGGGAGGCAGGACCCACAGCTGTGTCCTAGGAGATGAAGTCGTCACTGGCAGTACGGCAGGTGCTGGAATGGGGAAGGATACTCTGACCTCCAGGCACCTAGTCTTTGTGTCCAGGGAGCAGGGGCGCTTGCCTATGGAAATGGCCCTAGAACTGAGTGCTGAGCCCCAGGCCTCCCCTGAACACCTCCCATCTCCACCCCCTCCATCTGTGAAGGGCCTCCTCACTTGGGGTCATCACAGTAAGTGCCCTGAGGGCAGGAGATGGGGTCCTAATCACCTGTGCCCCCACAGGGCCTAATCAAGTGCCCTATGCATAGAACTTTCTCAAATCTTGGGACACCTGGGTGGCTCAGTCAGTTGAGCCCCCTCCGACTTCGGCTCAGGTCATGATCTCATGGTTTGTGAGTTCGAGCCCCACGTCGGGCTCCATGCTGACAGCTCAGAGCCTGGAGCGGGCTTCGGATTCACGTCTCCCTCCCTCTCTGCCCCTCCCCCACTCGTGCTCACTCTCTCTCTCTCTCTGTGTCTCTCAAAAATGAATAAACATTAAAAAAACATTTTTTTTTAAGTTTCTCAAATCTTCCATCCACGATCCACATGTGAATGGCAGCTGGTGTTGCAGAGAAGCAAACTCTTTACCTGAAATCCAACTTCTCTGTGATGACCCACGGAGAGAGGTCGGGGTGGGAGGTGGGGGGAGTGCATCTCTCTCCCCAGAACACTGAGTCTAGCCTGTGCTCAGGGTCGGGGAGGCCTCACCTGGAAGATGTTGATGTGGAGGTAAGGGTGGGCCAGCAGGGACCTGGTGGTGAACATGCACAGCAGGGCCGAGCCGGGGCTCCCGAAGCCAGACACATTCAGAAGCAACCAGTAGTGAGCATAGAGGCCCAGGGAAATCAGGCCCAGCGTCCGCACCCCCGACCTGAGCTCCACCTTTCTCAGCCGCTCTGTCAGAGGGAGCAAGAAAGAGAGTGTGGGGGTGGGGGGGAGGAAAAGCCTTCCCCCCCACCCCACCCCCGGCCCAATGGTGCTAACTAGGGCGTTAACTAGGGCGACCGTTCATCCACACAGCCCTGAAAAGTAGGTTCACCCATTTTATGGATAAGGAAACAGCATTAAGCAACTTGGCCAAGCCCACTCTGCTGGTAGGTGGTAAGAGCCATCCACAGCTGGGACCCGGGTCCGGCTGCCCTCCAGCCCCTCCTTCCAGCACACAGTACTGCTCTCACGATATTACAGTCCACAACCCGCAATAGAGCGCAAGGCCTTTGCAAAGTATTTTTACATCTATGACCTCATGATGCTTTCACACCGCCCTTGAGGACCAAGTAAGAACCTGAGGCTCAGACTGGTTAAGTTACCTGCCTGTGGTCATCAGCCAGTAAGTGGCACAGCCAGACTTGGCCCGGGGGCCGAGGCTCCTTCCACCCTGCCTGGCTGTCTCAGAAAGCTTCCGGTCTTAACTTGGGGCTCCCAGCTTCCTCTACAAGCAGCCTCCAGGAAGCCAGGAGGGGGAGTAAGGGAAGCGGGGCCCTGGCATACTCACCAACAGCCACCAATGGGGTGAGGACGGGGATCAAGAGAGGAGCAAGGAACATGTACACGTAGCGGTTGAGGCAAGGCAGCCTCCACGTGCTCGAGTCCCCAAGGCCCAACACATTGGTGTAACCATGGTGCATCTTGACGTGTCCATACTTGCCGTACTCTGCAGAGAAGGACGAGCATACCTAGAGGAGGGAGCCAGGGAGGGCACCGGGGGCCGGGTCAGGCACAGTCAGGCAAAGTAGGACCTCAAGGACACCCACCGTCCCCGGATGCTGCATTTCCGGGACCTTCCGGCCTCACACCCCGGCTAATCAGACCATCTACTCTCAGGTTCCGCGACCACAGAGTAGCAGCAAGTCAAAAGAACAGCGTCCACTAGGGGTGGCGATGCTAAGCGTTTGGAGGTGAGACGCCAACCCCCACGATTGCCACTCTGTCACTGGCCACCCGAGCAAGCCTGCAAGCCTGACAGGGCTCTCAGGGGACTGGGCACACTGCACCCAGCTGCAATTATTTTGTTCATGTCTATCTTGGAAACATCTGTATTTCCATAACGCTGCTTTGCATTCGGAGCCCAGAGCGGCAAGGGGAGGGGCGCAAGAGTGGCCTGGCCATGAGGGTGGCGCCCAGGGTGAGGAGCCCGGGTGGGGGGCTGAGTGTGAACCTCTCCCCAGGGGTCACTCCTCTGGCACGCACCCTCACCCTCGTGGGATTCTTCGTAGCTGCCCAGGAGAAGCAGAGGCTCAGGGACCCCAAGAAGGGCAATCATTCTGAATGCAAAAGAGGCAATAAGGAGTTTCTTATGCAGATATATGCAAATGAAAACGCAGATAACAGCTTCCTCCAGTATTTCATCCAGACCAGAAGATCTTGTTAATTTTATCCAAGATCGCTGCCTGCCTGTTTCCGGAAGGACTTGAAGACTCTTCCAGCGCCAGCCACCACTGTGAGCCTCGAAAAGACAGCCGAACACCCTTCCCTGAGTGCCCAGCGTGCTGCACTTTACAAATGTGATTTGCTCGGGGCGCCTGGGTGGCGCAGTCGGTTAAGCGTCCGACTTCAGCCAGGTCACGATCTCGCGGTCCGTGAGTTCGAGCCCCGTGTCAGGCTCTGGGCTGATGGCTCAGAGCCTGGAGCCTGTTTCCCATTCTGTGTCTCCCTCTCTCTCTGCCCCTCCCCCGTTCATGCTCTGTCTCTCTCTGTCCCAAAAATAAATAAACGTTAAAAAAAAATTAAAAAAAAAAAATGTGATTTGCTCATCTCCCAAGCCTAGTGAGTCAGCGGCGTTATTATTCACAGTTGACAGAAGCAGAAACTGAGGCAGAAAGAGGCCACGTGACCACCCCAGGTGACTAACTCCAGGCCACTTGGCTAGGAAGGTGGCAGAGGTAGGATCTGAACCCAGAATCCACCCAAGATAAGCCGTAAGGCCCTGGAGATGAGCCGCTAACTCCAAGAGAGCAGGAACCCAGGCTCTGGGCCCCAGGCAGCAGAGGCAAAGCCAGGACAAGACATATAAGGAACGACACTGTCTTCACACTCTGTTTGCAGCAACCTTCTCCCTCGGAATGAAACGGCACTGAAATACAGCCGGAAGGTCTAGCTAAAGGATGCTGGGGCGGGGCGGCGGGGGAGAGGGACAGTTAGGGAGGTCACAACTGCGGTTTTACAACAGACACGTCAACCCCGTATTGCAGGGGCCCCTCTGGAGACAGAAGATGGGGTCCAGCACAGCCCTGCTAGGAGTCCGTGACAGCAGCAGGAGGAGGTAATCTGCCTAGGAATGAGTTCTGCTGTCTGTTTCTATAAGCTCGCAGAGGGACGAGGTTGGGCCAGGCTGCAGAGGGCGGGCAGGTCACGTGTCAGCTGAAGTGACATCTCGTGCAGGCCTGCTGGTCTCCAGAGCATGCACCCATCGGGGCCACGTGGTTGGTTTGGGTTCCAGGCAGAAGCTTTCAGCAGCGGGCACACAGGGCTGTGGCTGGGGTCTGCCGGGACATCCTCAGGGGCCAGCCTGCCTCTGTCCAGGGCTTCCAGGTGTGTGTTTTGATCCTCAAGGCTCTCTCCCATGTAACTGGAACCAGCAACTGGTTTTGTTTTTGTTATATTTTACAGAGAGCGGGTGAGAGGGGCAGAGGGGAAGAGAGAGAGAGACAGAGAGAGAATCCCAAGCTGGCTCCATGCTCAGAGCAGGGCCGGATGCAGGGCTCAATCCCACGACCCTGGGATCATGACCTGAGCAGAAATCAAGAGTTGGACGCTCAACCGACTGAGCCATCCAGGTGCCCCAAGAAGCAACTGTTTTTAATTGCTGCTTCTGTGCACCTCTCCGTCAAGGGCCAACCACACCTGTACTGCGCTGGGACGAAGTTGCCTTTCCTTTCCAGCACGGGCTCTGCATCTCCACGCACACTGGCGGCTCACCGCATTCTGACTAATGATGTCACAAATGACCTGGCGCCTGAGCAGGGCTGAGCATGGTAAGAACTGGGCCCTCAGGGACCCCGTCGGGTCCTCAGTCAGCTTCTCAGCCACATGGCCAGACCCCAGGAAGCTGGGAGCTGAGCTGCATGTGACTCAGCGCACACTTCCAGAGTCTGTACATGGTTGGCCTTTTTATATGAATAAGAACAGATTTGGAGCTATTTCTATAACACTGGAATTCTCACTCCCTTCTGGATGTTCCTTCCGTAGAGGAAAGGAGGGGGTGGCTTTGGGCTGGAAGAGAAGACTGCACATCCTGCCGCGCGTCTCCTGCGCATGTACGCCCATCAGCCAGAAGGCAGGGGAGATGGCCAAATGCCGCGGAGGCAGCTGGGAAATGCACTGTCCGCCGTGAAGGATTGGGCAGAGGTCTCACCCAAGAGGATTCCACATACAGACCCAGGGAGAATTCCAGAAGCCTCAAGGCTTGATGATGTCTCTCCTCCTCCTCCTCGTCCTCCTCCTCCTCCATTCCCCTCTTCTTCTTCTTCTTCTTCTTCTTCTTCTTCTTCTTCTTTTTAGTAATCTCTACATCCGAAGTGGGGCTCAAACTCATGATCCCGAGATCAAGAGTCACATGCTCCACTGCCTGCACCAGCAGGGTCCCCAACGCTGGTGTTAACCTCTTAATGTCAACATGCAGTCCCTCCAGAAGACTTAAGGGCTCCAATCTCCTAGCAGCACTCAGGCTCTACAAGTGGCCACAGTGTGCATGGGCAGATACCAGTGAAAGTCCTCTTGCCACCTGCCCTCTGCTAAGTATCAGGGACCCCAAGTCTCCCATCATTCACTTCTTCCTTCACTCAGCTGTTTGCTCTCTCAGGCATCCTCCGCCCTCCGCCGGTGGCCAAAGGTAATTAACAGCTAAGCTGGTAGTTTGAAAACAATTATTTTTTGAATAGGAACTATGCTTACATAATTCTGAATTCAAAAAGTGGGCAGTGACAGGTTGTCTTTCCTTTTTTTCTTTAAAAAAATGTTTAATATTTATTTTGGGGAGAGAGAGAGAGCGTGCGCTCAAGCATGAGTGGGGGAGGGGCAGAGAGAGGGAGAGACCCAGAATCCGAAGCAGGCTCCAGCCTCCGAGCTGTCAGCACAGAGCCTGATGCGGGATCTGAACCCACGAACCATGAGATCATGTCCTGAGCCGAAGTCAAGCACTTAACTGACTGAGCCACCCAGGCACCCCTCTTTTTTTTTTTTTTAACATTTATTTATTTTTGAGAGACACCGTGTGAGCAGGGGCAGGGCAGAGAGAGAGGGAGACAGAATCCGAAGCAGGCTCCAGGCTCCAAGCTGTCAGCACAGAGCCTGATGCAGGGCTCGAGCCCACAAACCACGAGATCATGACTTGAGCCGAATACACTATTTGGGATATACTTCTACAAAAACTGATTGGTTTTTTTTACCTGAAACTCGAATTTCTCTGGGAGTCCTGTTTTTTTTTTTTTTTTTTTTTTTTTTTGTTTTGTTTTGTTTTTTTTCTACATCTGAAAGCCCTACTGGGTGAGGATACAAGTTTCTGAGTCTGAGTCCTCAGGTACCAGGCAGGCCCCAGGTGAACATGGCCACCTCTCAGCACTTCTGGATAAGAGAGGGGGCAGCAGTGAGGGCCAAAGCAAGAGGAGACCCTGGGAGCCTCGTCTTGATGGGAGCTGGCTGGATGTGGTCAGCCCTGAGCCATCGAGCAGCCATGATGGGATTCTCTCCCCTTTAAGGCCTTGTCCCCAGAAACTCCCCAGCTCCTCTGCTGGGCACACAGTCCTCCTTACTCCTTCTCTCCGGAGTCCAGATTTCTGTGGGTCCCTCATGTACCATGCTGTCGCCCGTATCCCTGCCTTTACATGTACATCTGCTCCGTCTGGGGCTGGGGCTGGCAGCGCTGTCCTGGCAGTTCCTCGTCTGGACACGTTCCCCAGGAGTTCTCGGCCCTGGCACCACCGACATTTGGGACAGGGTCATTGTTGTGAGGCCTGTCCTATGCACTGAAGGCTGTTTACGGCATCCAGCCTCGACCCACCAGATGCGAGTAACACAGGTGCGAGTGCACACGCATGCACACACACACACAAGCACACACACACACACACACACACACACACCAGTCACAACAGCCAAAGATGTCTGCAGACATTGCCTAGTACCCCTGCTGTGCTCTCTCTGTGCTCACGGCCTGCACATCACCTGCTTAATGTCCCTGTCACATTCTGCCTGCCCTGGTCCCGGCTGAGCAGCCTTGGCCAAGTGACTGAACCCCCCAGATCAATGTTTCCTCATGTACGAAGTGAGGATAATAACAGCGTCCCACTCATAAGGAGGCATGATTACTAAAGAAGATAATTCGGGGCACCTGGGTGGCTCAGTTGGTTGAGCATCTGACTTCAGCTCGGGTCACGATCTCACAGTTCGTGAGTTCGAGCCCCACATCAGGCTCCATGCTGACAGCTCAGAGCCTGGAGCCTGCTTCAGCTTCTGTGTCTCCCTCTCTGTCTCCACCCCTTCCCCACTTGTGGTGTCTCTCTCTCTCTCTCTCTTTTTCTCAAAAATAAATTTTAAAAACGTAAGAAAATAAATTTTTTTTTTTAAAAAGAAGATAATTCATGTAAAGTACACAGTAAGCACCCAGGAAGAATCGGCCAATATAATCAGGATTTTTATTGCTTCCCCACTTGACTCTGAGCCCTTGGAGAACTAGAGCAGGTCTCGCTTGCCATTGTGTCCCCAGCACGCAGAGGAGGGCTTGGACAAGCTCAGTGACGTGGAGGGCACTGCTCAGCCATCACTGCTCAGCCTGGACCAGCACTGTCTCAGCCCCCCAAGCTCCTCCCTCAATCTGTGAATCCTATTCGGGCTGGGCAGCCACTGCTGGACTCACAGCAAGCCTGCCCTGTTCTCTCCGAGCCTCTCCCTCAAGGCTGCAACCCTTGGACTCAGGCTGCCATCCACAGATGACTGCCTGGACCACCTAGCCCTGCTCCGGGGTCCTCTGCCACTGAGAGGCCATATGCACGCCCACCACGGTCACCACCATTAAGAGCCAAGCTGTACAGACCCACAGAAATAGGAGTTCCCAGAGTCCTCGGGCTTATCCTTGAGGAAATCACACCAAAGCTGGGGGGGGGTGGGGAGGGAGGCTGCCGGAAAGTCCATTTTGCAGATCTACACATGATAAAATAAATGGCAGGTACACACACACACACACACACACACACA